TCAGCTTTCACACCTGAGGGAACAGACCATGTGTCAGTGGGAGACCTTATCATCAGCAACAAGAGCAACACCTACAGTACCATTAAATTGCTTACAGCAGTTACTGCAGTAACATAGTATTGATACGGGGTTCAGGTGTGACTTTCCTTGCGACCTAAAGGGCAAAGACACTGTAATGTATGACACTTCCTTATACTGTACGGCCTCCTCCACTTTGCCAAGGTAATTATCCGTAGACACAAGGTTAGAGAGGTGTGGGAGCAGTGATCAGACTATTTTCCACCGGCACTCAAACGGCTCATTTTATGCACTAATGGATGAGGGCATCTTTTATGAAGTGTAAATCCTTTGGATGGGACGTCGTGGATGCTAACGATGTGACTGGCACCTTGGTGAAGGCGGGATCTCAGCTGTTCTTTTGTGAGCAGTCTTCACAGATTCAATATTGTCAAGAACATTTCACCATGTGGGGATTGATTCCTTTAGTCAGTGCTGAAGATGGCACCTGTCTGTCTGTCTGTCTGTCTGCGCCCACGGAGCGCATCTTGTGACAATCGTCGTACTTGAGAAATTCCAAACACATCTGGAAACTCTCTCGGCTAATTTTCTCCCGTGTGAATTCTCACTTCTATTAACGTCAAGAATAAACACACGCTTCACTCTTCCCTCCGTCTCTCGCACACTTAATCACTAATCAGCTTTCTCTGCCTGCAAATGTTGTGAGAAACCGTGCAGGATGTGGGTGTTCATTATGAGAAGGCTTCCTCACCTGCTCGTCACTTACAGATTAAGGTCCCCCACAGCAGCACGTAAACAAAATCATAAATCACCGACGCTTCTCCCTCCACTGCCTGACTGAAATTCATGGTTCTCAGCCTTACTAAATCATAGTAGATGAGTGCCCAAGGGAGGCTGGAAGGCTAATACACGCTGGCCATGAATCCTATCAGCAGCAAGGCCAGTCCTATATGTCTAAATATAGTCAATCCAGAGATGGATGGTCTTAAGCTGAGCGGCTGGGGAAGGAAAGAACACCCATAAGGCCGCGGCGTGTTGGGTGATTGTAAAGAGAGTTTAAGTTAAAATTGTAATGCCACAGGACAATTTGAGGGGGCATTAAGAAGAATGGCCCCCTTCTGGTTCACACTAACAACTACGTCCATCAGTCTCTCTGTGATGTATTTTTCTCGGCTCTATTCTATAAGACCTGGGGGTGTATGTGTGTGTGTGTGCGTGTGTGTGTGCACACAGCCATACTGGTATTCTGTGTTTGTAAACAAAAAGCATGTAGCTCCTCTTCCAGCCCTGCAGGTGGCACTTTAAACACAGCTCTGTTTAATAGTCCAGTGAACCAGTGTATAGAGATTAGAATGGATCAGAATTGATCAATTCCAGTTCCTATATGGATATTGATTTTAACCCATAATAATCCATTATAATTTAATTAAAACCAATGCAAAACCAATGTCCCTCCACTTTTAACCCATAATAATCCATTAAAATTTAATTAAAACCAATGTCCCTCCTAGCATAAGATTTTTTTAATTTTTTAAATTTTTGACTCATTTCTTTCTGAGATTAAGCATAAGATATATATTTTTTATTTTATTTTATATTTTTTTTTAATTTTTGACTCATTTCTTTCTGAGATTTCTTTTGTTTCTGTTGATGCAGCTACAAGTCCCTGTTTTTTCTGTGTAATTAGATTCTAATCTTGGTGGTATTAAAATGCAACAGGACCACACCCAGTTCAAGGTGAAGCACTGAAGATAAATGAAAGCAGCCACATGAGCGCAGCATGGTGGCGACATCTGTACAACATTATTATTAAATGACAACTAATTTGTCCGTCAGACGAGGGCAGTGATGAGATCCCCCATGATCGATTCCCAAGCGCTCTCACCGTAATTACCATAATCATTTACATATAATTGAGGAATACGCCCACTGTAAATCAGTGGCAGCGAGAGACAGCCATATGTAGTTGTAATCACTTTGGCCTGAAGTGACGGGACTGCCGTTAAACTGCGAAAGGTCATCTCTTTTCACCGAGGCATCTGGTTAAAAGACTTAAAAGACTTTCAGAAGTGCCAGTGTCATCTGGGAAACCAGCCAAAATAAAGTTTATGTTTGATCCAAGTGACGCAGCGCAGTAACACCTCAGCTACGGAAAAGTACAAGAAGAGACGTGTCCTCTGCAAGGACAAACGCTGGCATCAGGTACAAGCTCGGCCCTGACGGAGTTCAGCCGCCTGCTTCTGTCAGAAAACAGGATTCTAATCTCTTAAAGGCTGAGTTCAGGGAGAGATAAACTCTTATCACATCATAAAATGTGTTAACAGGAGTTATATTTACTTTATAAATATTAAAATATACTTTCTTATAGCAGTGGGGAAAGAAACGGAATCAGGATGTATGTTTAGAATAGTATCTTCATCCTCCTCTATGATTCATATGCAGGAAGTGTAACAACGTCAATTACATCAGTCATGCACGTTGTCTAGTATGTGACTTGACTGATGCCGTGTCATTTTTTTTACACGTCGCCTGCATCCAGTGGACTGTAAAAAGCTGTCAGTCATTCTGCTTCCTAATATGCAGTGCTTCATCATCTATATACGTACTAAAAAAAAGAAAAAGAGATTCATATTTAAAATATAATGACCTGGAACTAATAATTTGGGATGATACATTTCTCTACATTGTGAAATGCTCTGACATGTTTTTCAACATACTACAGGATTGATTTACACTACTTAAGGAACATTAGTATACCCTCAAATGTCTGTTCAAGTGAAACAACCTTATAAAACACTATTTTATACCTAAGTCCAAAAATGTCTCTACATTCACACTACACAAAGTTTTCAAAAATATTGGCAATGTGATGCTTTCTGATTTATTTTCCAGACAAACAAAATCCTTACCGTATCAAACATGTTGTGAAAAATGTTCGGTTTTGTCTCCCTCCTCTGGTGGAAAATGTCATTACACGTTGTTTCATAGAAAAATTAGAATCTTAGAAATTTATTGAGATTAAATGAAAAAAATAGGTTCTGTATAAAAAAAATAAACATAACAAGTAAATAAAAAAACAGGAATAATTTAAGACAAGCATTAAATAATTTTAGATGCATTTATTACAAGTATGTTAATCTATTTTAGGGCTTTTTGGTTTGTAATATTTGTGATAGAACTGCATAAAAACTAATTAGAAGCTACATATGAATAATTAGACGAGATTAGACTCTTCCTACTAAGATGTAAACAGGCTGTAAATTCCAGCACCAAAACTCATAATAACAAGCCACCATTAAACTCATTCATTTGTCTAAAAAAACCTGCAGAACTTTGCCAACGGCCGCGTTGATTCTAAGTAACTCTCCGACACACATTAACTGAGTGATAGTAGACTTTATGGTGGAGAATGAGCCTGATGTTTTTTTTACGAGTCCAGCCAACCTTCCAGATCGGCTCATAAAACTGTTTCACAATTGTCTGTGAAGGAGACGTCCTCCAAGTAAAGCAGAGTCTTTACAAGCAGCACAGGTGGAGGGGGAATTCAGGAAGAGACAGCAGGAGAGTCGTGTTTTTTTATGTCCCAGGTAGATGGTGTGGCTGATCTACCAGTTTCTATTCTGGAGTGAGAGTGAGAGCCTGTGGGTGAATTTAAAAACAAACACAACTGAACTGTGAATCAGTTTCTCTTCACCGTCGAGTTGGGTGTTTGGGAGGGGTTGGAGAAGGTGGGGGGTTTAACTCCTAAATCCTCATGCTTCATTTTCAAACCCTGTTGCTGTTTTGTTGAAATAAAATATTAGGTTTTCTTTGAGGTCAGAACGGTTGCCTTTTTATCTTTTCACATGCCCATATTATTATTACAAGTTCTATGCAACATGAAAACATGCCCATATTATTATTACAAGTTCCATACAACATGAAGATGTTCTACGTATGCAAGAAATAGATTTACAGGTGGAACCTTGTCACAGTGAAAGCAAAGTTTGAAAGTAGAGTTTGTGCCAGGAGTCCCAAACTTTTCTTTACTACTTGTTTACAACGGTGTGTTCGCTGTATGAACTGACAACACAGGGGGTTATTTCAGGTGGTTGTACGAAGAAGTAAAAGCAGCGAGAGGCTACAAACAAACTCAACCTCAACTTCTTTGGAAAAACAATACAATCTATCCAGATCTGCAGAAAAATATTTATTTTAGACCATCAGTAGACCAACGGTTTTATCATCCAATAATGAGACAAATCTCAAAATGTCATATATACAGTATATATATATACACACATAGTTATCGATGCAGAGAAAACAACTTTGAACCTACAAAGAGAAAGAGCACAGAGGGGAAGTCCGTGAGATCTCAAGGTGTGGCGGTGACTGTAAGTGCTGTGCAAACTCAACAACAAACAAAGAGTTCTTTTGTTGCGACACCTCGTGAGTTACGAGTTCTCGTCCTGTAACCTGAGCCAAACCCCTGATGGATTAAATATTATATTTATATATATTTACCTGTCAAATAAAAGTGAATCCATAAAGAGCTTTGAACTGAACGGTGAAAGGTCAGTTCCTCAAGTGACCATAAATTACTGTAAACAGGTTCTCTTCCTGCAGCCAAGCACTCACAGAAGAAAAATACAGAGAAGGGCGCCCCCTGTTGATCTGTATTAGCTATTGAACTGAACAGTCGGCAAAGGTGGGAGTCACTGGTTTAGTAACTGTTTTTTCAAATATAGCAATACATATAAAATGATCTATATTATATAGTACGCTGTATACGTATATTTGGTGTATGTGCATACTACAAGAGTGTGGGTGCATAGTGTATTTGGTGTATGTGCATACTACAAGAGAACTGCAGTATTGTTGACGAGACTATGTTATTGTTGGTAACCACACACACATGTAGCAGCAGGCTCCGTATCTGAGTGTAATTAAAGAGGATCACAGGCACGTGTTGAAACCAGTGTACTCTGTTTATATGAGTGCAGACAAATACATGGTTTCAGTTCTGTATATTCCCACAGAATAATAACCTGCTTGGTTTACACAGATTATGACGTCCTTATGCTAATGTTGTAAACTTGAGAATCCAACAGTCACTGCAGCTTAGGTGTCCAGGACAAATAATTATAAAATAAAATTGATTTTTTTTTTCTCATCTCTCCCTCCTAGTGCCCCTTGACGGCCCCCAAGGGGACCGCTACCCCCTTTTTTGGAAACCACTACTCAAAGCAATCACTGGGTGAGGGTAGAGTCCAACCTGGACAGTTCTCCAGTCCATCACTAGACTAAATACAGAGACAAACCCCCATTCTCACTCATACACACTTGCAGACGTCCTCTCTGGTAAGGCAGGAGCATTAACCACTGTTCACCCCCGCTGTAGCCGACTGTACTGGACACTGGTCTTTAACCAGTGCTGGTCATTTCTCAGACAAGACATCCAGTCATCTGATCAAACGTCCAGGAAGTGAAACAAATGTCCGTGTCCTGCCAGTGGCTGTTGGCAGGAGGATTAAACAGTGGCGTAAACAGAGGCTTTATCTTCAACTGTGGGGAAGTTTGACTGCTGGGAATGCTGGGAAAGGGGATTTGAAGCTGCAGCACATCAGAGTCCAAGCTTGTAGAAGCTTCATGAATGGACTTGTCTCTTACTTTCTTTCATCACGCCATTTCTCTCTCTTTCACTTTCATGCCCCAGCCCAACACCCACACACAGACACACACACACACAGTTTTGTTCATCTCTTAAATGACAGCATTGGCCTCACATGTCGTAGTCTCTCTTCCTTCAAGTTCTCTAATCATTAACCGCTCTGATAAAGTCTGCAGGAGGAAACAGTGCCTCTGCCTCAACACTTCGTCAAACCTGGAGAGAAACACACCAGCTTCTTCACTCTGCTCCTTACAGATTCAACAGTGGGCTTTTTTTAATATATTTTTTTTATTTCATTTCCCTCAGACACAGTGCGATGGATCTTAAAGCACTGCACATGCTCTGGCTCGTACCTGTGTTCACGCTAACAGCACAAGGTGAGTACGGTAAAGTCATGGAGTTTAGAACAACTCTGTTGTTATTGATGGAAAACAATGCTCTCAAAAAGATGTATTTTTGGACGTACAGTCGAGTTAGCCTCCAGTCTGCTGTTCTCTGGTTATATTCTGATAATGGCAGAGTTTGTTCTGTGTTCTACTGTAGGTTCTTCTTTAATCTGGTTCACAGTTTATTCCTGATCATTGTCCTGATGTAAAATGATACACTGACACTAAGATCAGCGCTCATGCACACACATAATGACTTTTTTGGTCACTAACTGTATGTAAAAGAGCTGATGAAGACTTTGACCTTTATTGATCTTTAATGTTTAATCCCTGTCGTCAGTCGGTCAGATTCAATCATCGTCCATCATCGTCTTCCACTTTGTCTCCAGGGCTGGACCTGAGCGTCAGTCCAGGGATCACAGCCAGGTGTGGCTCACATGTGAGGCTCCAGTGCATGGCCACCTCATCACGGAGTGGACTGTCAATCAAACACATAGGCTGGTACCATAGAAATACACCTGTATGTTATGTGGACAATCAGGGCCCCATTCTTTTCAACCAAACTGACCACTACTGTGAATACGAGGACGGACAGTTGTCTCTGACCTTTCCAAAACTGAAGCCGTACCAGGAGGGCCGCGACTTGGAGTCCTACTTGTGCAAACTGCGATCCAACCAAGAAGTTAAGCATAAATATACGAGTGTGGAGCTGGACGGTGAGAGTTCAATATATTTATGTATGTGAACGATCTCCAAAAAAAAACACTGCAGTAATGGGTACTGAACCTGTGTTCTCCTGATTTCTCTAGACTGTGCCGCAGCCGTCACCGGGGTTTTAACCACCGCTGGTCCTTCATGTACCTTCTACAACGTCTACCCTGACGGAGAAGTGCACTGGTTCCGTAGTTCAAACGATGTGTGGGTGGAGCCTTCGAATTCCAAACATCTCACCACTAAACGTGTGGAAACGGGTGGATATTTAACGATTCAGAGTAACCTGACACTCTTGGAGACGGTTTCCGGAGTGGTCTTCAACTGCTCCTTGAAGAGCAGCAGATCTGGGAAATACATCGCGAGTACTTTAATTCGGAGCGAAGGCCTTGAGGGGAGAGGTGGAGCACGTATGGCCCCACAATTCAAAAACACTGCAGTCAGATCACAGGAAGTGGTCACCAAGGCTTTGTATGTCTCTGTCATCTTGGCTGTCCTCAAAATAATCAGTTAAAAAAAATTAGCTTCAACTCAACCATCAGTCTTCTACATACATGGTACACAGATAGGACCGGATTACATTTTATATATAAATATATAAAATAAATATATGTAAATGAAAAGTGACAGTGTAACAGAGCAGGAGAGCTAACTTTGTTAAGAGCTAACTCAGTTTCACAAAATGACATTCACCTATGGCATCTATCTATAATAAGAATATATACGGAGACTATAAATAAAAAATAATCATTAAAGCATAGTTATATTGAAATGATAAAATCAGCAAAACAACATGAGAGTAACGGCAGGACCGATGTTACAACTAGTAACGGAAGCAACAGACAAAAAAAGGGTAAAAAATGATAAATAAAAAAAAACGTGTGAAAACAAAAACACCGATCCATACAACACCGTGAGAATTTATTCTGAATTCTGATGTCGTACTCATGCTGCAGGGATTATGGTTGGATACTGCCCTCTAGCGAACATGTGTGATCAGTGCGCCGGGAGCACCAACTGGGCTGAATTATTTTGCTGTGATGCATTCATTCAGGGAATGTGTAAAAAAATCTACTGTCACCAGAGTAATGGTGTTGATGCTGCTTTTAGGGGCAGGAGGAGAATGAGGTTTGAATTCGTGTTCCATCTTTGTGGCCTAATGGCGGAGGACAGATTCCACTGAGAGCCTCGGGTGGTGATGATTGTCTTAATGATGTGTCTAAGCTGTAGGCGGCGCCAGATGGAGCTCTTAGCCAGACGTCGCTGCAGCTCGAAGTCAACAGTGTAAATATTACTGGTCTACCTTGACCGTTCTGGTGTGATGGTCAGCATGACACTGACCTCGACCTTGGCCATGACTATAACTCAAAAACACAGCTAGTTATTAGTCATATTTTTAACTACTACTGATAAAAACCATGAACGGAAAAATGAACAATTAAAAAAATGTGAATAGTTGAAAAAAATGTTGTCTGATATTGTCTGTTTAAAAGGTAATTCGTTTCTGTGGTGTCGCTTTACAGGCAGCTGCTTATTGGTGTTTTTTTTACATTTAAATAAATGGTTTGTTGTGCAGTTTAAAATTGTGTTCATTTTGAAAAACCAGAAACACTTTGTTTTACATTTTTGGTTTTTGCATTTATATTATGAAATGTGTATAATAAGTCTGAGCTCTGATGAACTCTTAAAATTAAAGTTTTCAAATGTATTCATCTGGATTATAATGTTTTAAAAATCAACCAAAAGCGTTGGCAACACAGCAATAATTATCAAATTATTTAGACAACACACGTTTACATGTAATACCCACTAGGCGGCACAATTTCACCCCCGTCAGATGACTCCACGGTTCAGAGAAGGTCTCGATACTGAACATTTAACCCAGTCCGACCTTTTTGTTGTGAAATATAATAGTCAGTATGAGAATGAATTATCATATTTATTTGTAAACTGACATTTTGTTGTTCATTCATCCTTCTCCTGATTGGTCAGAGAAACAAAGTCAATCAATTGGCCAATTATCACCTCCAATAAAAGTCGTTTTTTTGGGGGTCAAGATCTTCTGTTACATAACCCTCCATATTGGAAGTTTCTTCCCATATATGTAGCTAACCCGACCAAAGTACACAGTAGGCTGTGTGTGTGTGTGTGTGTGTGTGTGTGTGGACTGTTATCTGCTCTCAGTAAGGTCTCCATTATCACCCTGGCAGCCTGGTGTTCAACAGTCAGGTGAGTGTCTCCAGCCTGTTATATCATACAGGAGGGTGGGGCTGGAGGACGGGTGCGTGTGTGTGTGTGTGTGTGTGTGTGTGTGTGTTGGGGGAGTAGAGACACGATAAGAAAATGACCCACTGACTAACAGTGACACAGGACGGACAGTAAAGGATGGAGGGATGGGCAGGGGGCGATAAAAGCCTGATTTCATCAACAAACAGCAGAGATGTATGCACAGCCCTGACAGCCTGTTACCTAACGTTACGGTAAATGGGACAGGGGGGCGGTGGGGGGGTCGAGGGGGGGCATTGGGGTTAATTGTCCAAGAGCTGGTGTGACCATGTTGATGTCAGTGGTCTGAAAACATCGGACCAGTCCAGAATCACAGAGTACTTTGAAATCATACTGTATATATATATATAACTATTCTATTATAGATTTTTTTTTTTTTGACAAAGTCTCTACATATCAACCCCCAGGTCACGTCTCGGTTTCAGTCGGAGTCTAAATTAATAGCTCGTCTGTGTATTTCCAGGACGGCACTTGTGAAATAAACATAGTTTATTGATTCTTCCCAGTAAATCACAGTCAATACCCTGGTGTCCTTTTGGGTAATTGCATGTAAATGTTTAAAAACCATGTTGACAAATGGTCAGCGTCTGAACACTAGTAGGCGGCCTAGAAGAGCGGACCCCCAGCTCCCGTCTTAAATTATTGAACGGACCAATGAGATTTCATCTGTGACTCTTGTTACGTAACAGTCTCTGAGGACTATAGTTCCCTCCATGTTTTACTTCAATAGTCTTCTGATTACCACATGTCAACATCTCACTCCTGACTCTAACTACCTGCTCCTCAGGGTCTGAGGAGAAAGACAGAGAATTCTGGGTAATTTGTGCTTGTTCTGATTGTATAGAGGACGGTGCAGCCAGCTGCTCCTCATTAGTCTCAGCATCCTCACAGTCTCCATTCTACAGCCTCTGTGTACTGTAGGTTTCGTAACCATGGCAGCTTCACCAATCCACCCTGAGAAAACACCTACTCTGCATCATTAATTAGTGCGCTAATTGCTTAGAAAGCTTGTATTAATGTGAAGACTCATTAGATCCTATAGTGCTGCTCTGAGTGCAGGGGAGAGACCAGTGATGAAGAGTGGCAGGAGTCGAGTGCTGACTCAGGGAAATATTACCATGGAAATAGGACAGAGGGATGAGAATCCAACATGGACGCTGACGCTCACACACCACCGTCAAAACCTTTAAAAATGAGCAGCTTTCGTACTACACTTTGGTTAAA